CAACATAATATGGTGTTTGAGAAGTATGAATTGATTATTGTTGATACTATTGTGTTATCGTTGGGTTTATTGATTCAAGTATATGATGAGTTATTTCGATTCTTGAACGTTATTGTTATATTATAACGTTACTGTTGATGTTATTCACTTTGATGCAAGTCAATCTTCAAATAAATGAAGAAATAGATCCATACCGTTTCGTTGTAAAGGTGGAAAGTGCAGTATTCATTGACGGACGTACCCTAGTTGTGTTGTTCACATTTGAATGCGACCGTACAGATCTATAATCTCGTTTGACGGATGAACTTGTTAGGCAATCTTCGTCCATTTGCAAAATTTTCGTCTCTCCGGAAATTTGGTGGTGAAGATTCATGACGAAGTAAATTCAATGACATTTGGAATTTAAGAAGTGCATGAAGTCTGCGGACAGTATTTTCAATTTATCGCTGAAGAATGCTTTCTGTTACATGGATACTATGTGACCTTCAAATGCTGTTGCATATGTTCTTCGTATAGCCCTTAATAAAGCCATAATCGCTAATTTATTTCGTTATGCTAGGTGTTATTACAGCTTATGATAGTACCTGATGTTTCAGTCAAAGGCAATGCTATAAACTGCATCATATCACATTCAATTGCCATTCACATTGTTGCGTTTATTGTAGGTTCTGATTTATTCTAAAAGTATGCGTAGAAGTCGTAGTTTCCTTTTTATTGGACATTTTCAAGCTGACGGTCTATCGAGAAGTGACACAATTTTTGGGGTTTTAAAGGGCGAGTGATATTGTTTGTTCATTTTGGTTGCATGAGTGCAATTCATCGGTTATTAATGATTTGAAGATCACAACAGCAATCGACGTCTCACAGATCTAAAGGGCAATGTCAAAGAAAACAGTGATAGATCTTTATTTCGATGTGATTTCGCCATATTCGCGATTCGCATTTGAGGTGTTCAAATACTTTTTTTTACACCAGTCGTTCGAGTTTTAATTTATGGCACCCGTTGAAATGAGTGATAACGATAAAAGTTTGATTGATTAAAAAACGGCAAATGATTTTGATGAATGAGTTGTTTTTGAATGACTTCGAAAAGTTGGTGAATATTGTCACATTGAAGCGATATTCTCGTTTATTATTCACTGATTATTTGCTTAGAGTTTGATTTATAGAGTTTATTACGGTACCAAAAAGTATGGCCAATCCAAGTGAATCTTGTACCGTTCTCAATCGCTGGCGTTATGAAAGCATCGGGTGAATTTGTTTTTGCATTTCCTATATTTTATTATCTTATGCATGAATTCGGACCAATCCCAATCGCCTGGTCTGCATTCATTGCTGTTCATCAGTTAATTCGATTCACTGTTGATTTGTATAAATTCAAAAGTTGGATTCATATTTCGGACAGAATCTCCGCATCTATTGTGACAGAGTCAGAAGGAAAACAATCGTCTCAGTTTGATTGCTAACAGTAGCTGTTATTAATCAGGTAATAAAGCTCCAATGATTGTACCAGCAAAAGCCATGTATATGGCTAAAGACCTTCAACGAAGTGCCGATTACTGGTCTGTGAAAATCAAACCTCCTAAGGTTATCTTATNTTTTTTTGGTGAATGTGATTAACAAATTGTCGTGTTCTTCATTCGGCTTTATAAAATTTGAGTGATTTTAGAATCCAACAGACACAATTTTGAATAAGGGATCAATGTTGGCGCAGAGATTTCTGACAGTTATCGATATGGAGGAGAAGGATCATTTGGAGCAAGCAGCACGTGAACTATGGGAACGTGTATGGTTGAGGAATGAAACGATTCATAACGTTGAAGATTTAGAAGTGGTAAGGCTTCGGTTTGCATGTTGAATTTTATTCATTACTATTATTGTTTCAATACGACCATTATCATTGCTCCTAACTTGATCATCAATAGTTCTTGTATTTTATTTGTAATATAAACGCGAAGAATTTTATGTTTCAGTTAATTCGTTTCGTTTCTTTCTGCTTTTCACCGCTCCACCAATAGTGTGCCTATTCAGAATTTGTTCAGAGTTTTTAAATTCTCCTTTGCAGTAATACTGAAGAGCAAGTAATAGTTCTTTGTTTTAATGAATTTGAAAATAATTTGGCCACACTTATCGCAGTAGTGCAGATAGCATGCCAGTTTGAATAATCATCAAATTCACAATGCATTTTGCAAATTTATCTGGTGAGAGAAACTGCTCACCAAAAGTTGATAATGTGCAAAGAGTATTTCTACAATAAAGTTGATGAACGAATTACTAATCGTAAATAATAAGCCACAGAAGGAATTCGTCAAAACTTCCTATAAATATCGCATTTAGCATTTCCCAGTCAAAATTTTCAAAAATTCCGTTTTTTTTTTCTAATCTGAAAATTTGGAAACGACGATTGGTTTGAAATACTTGAACGTATGTGTTGTTACAATAAATGAATGTGTTCACCTTAAAGATAGCCTCAAAAACGAGTTTACCGAATGGAGCCGCGTTAATCGCTAAGTGCGGCAGTGAAGCAGTCAAAGAGATGCTCAAAAAAAGGACTGAAACTGCCGTAAAACAAGGGGTTAGCATTGTGGCCTCCATTGCTGGCTGTTTTTCTTTGCAACTAACAGCATTCTTTGTTATGCCTTCACTTTTATTAACGCTAAAAGTAAGCGAAACTATTCATAATGTCAAGAGCAAAAAATATAACAAAATCATTCAGTGTGTATCTTCTTTCCGGTTGCGAAACTTAAGATTTAAAAAATTTTCTTTTGGTGAAGCATTCTGACAACATTTCGGGATGAATTTGATGAATGAGCGAATGTCAACGATTCGAATTTACGTCACTTCTATTGAGTCATTTAAGCAATCAATCATTTCTTATTAGTATTTTGTGTCGATCAAAAAAGTTGATATTTTTTGCAACTTCATGATCGTTTTCTGTTCACTTCAAAATTCAATTCAGTGTTTTGGTGCACCGTGGATCGTAGTCCATAAAGACCAACGTGAGCTGTGTTTCTTCGGAAGTGACCGCTTACCGTTGATTGCTCATACAATCGGTTGCGCTTTTCAAGGACCTCAACCTCAGCCGTAGACGATGCATGCTTAAATCTTATGATTTATAGGGAATTTCGATTTTATTTGAAACAAGAGCATTTTCTGAGAATTCTGGTTGTTTTTCCAGCATTCAGGATGATCACATGAGATGAATAAGTGTATTTTGAACAAAATATTTTTTNTTTTTTGGCCTTTACCAAATTTTTTAATGCTTTTTCTCGTTACTTATTATAGTGTTTAGGATCATATTCTGTCACATTCTTCCAATTTTTGGGAATATGTTTTATTAGGTGATCGCTTACTTTCTTATCGTTAGATATAATTTGTATCGATCAAAAAAGTTGATATTTTTTGCGACTCCAAACCAGATTTTGGTGTTGTCTATCAAGTGTGTTGTCATATTGTCTTCACCTACCTCGCTTTCAACTATCATTAGTTCTATTAGTTAATCTACCTCGTTCAATATCGTTTTTATATTAGCCATTTATTAAGCATTTTCATACTCATCTTCCGATAATAAACCATTCAAAGAATTTATATTCCAATGACTTTTATGTTTACTAAATTAAACGCAAAATTTTCAACAAACAATCAAATATTAATGCTATCGTGTCACGGTAATATGCAGTAGTGATGGTAATCTGCCGAGGTTCGCTATGTGAAATCTGATGGTAAATTCAGTCGGATAACGAAATTGGATTGCGACCAAAGAATTTCGAAGTTTGTTCGGAATACCGACTGTGGGAATTCCCAAAAATGGAGTTATTCGGATTGTTATAGAAGTAAACTTTCGCTCGTACCCTCTTAGGGACAAATTAGAAGAACATTATGAAATGATTCATTAATCAGGGAAATTCTGCCAACAGTTCATCAACTTCTTTGAACGTTCTATCAATAATTCCGAGAAAGAAGAATCAACGAACGATAGTTTGCGGAACAGTTCAGTTTGTCATGATACTCTCAAACGAGAACCATACTGGCCTGAACTAAAAAATTGTCACTAGTGTACCACGCAAGTTAAGGTTGTAGAAAGATGATTGATGCGAATGCTTTTGACTAGAGTGTGGTTAAGTGTTCTGATCAGTAACTACAGACAGCTCAGAANTAGACAGATTCAGAAGATGGATGAGATCGGTTCTGAAAGAGTTACTCGATGACATCACTGTCTTGAAAGATTCAATGAGAAATATCTGAAAGAAATAAAATTGTCAATTTGTAAAGCAATAAATGTTTAAATTCAAGGATGCACAATGTACTAATTGAATTGTATGTTGAATAGTATAATACGTGTGCTTATGAGGGTAAAGGCAACATGGTATTTAAAAGCAACAAAAATCAGTTGAAAAAGAAACTTATGTAGATTTCTTTTTGTCGGCATCAAAGATATTATTTTGAATGAGAAGCCATCAATAATGTACATTAGACAAATGACCTACTGAGCAACTCTGTAACATTCGTTTGGGTTATGTCAAGAACGTAGCGGAAAAACATCGGTAGAAAATCATGGAGGAGGAGTGTCGACAATTGAAATGATCGAAGTCGAAAAGCATTGGCGGTTTGCTTTTAGAACTGTTATTGTAGGCGATTTAGAGCTGAAGTACAGTCGCATTCGAGTTTCCTGAAATGCACGTGAATGGGAACTGAGCTTCGACAAATCAGTAACTGAAGAATAACTCCAGTAGGGAAGTTTTTGACATCGACTATACACTTGATAAGCTGGAAGAGCCTGAATGGATACTTTTTCAGTTACACTTGCGACATTCTTCAACGTTTTTTTTTCAGTTACACTTGCGGCATTCTTTAACGTAAGCACTTTTCTACCAATACTTTTTCAGTCATCGAAAGTCGACACTTTTCCAAATAATGAATCGACATTTTTAGAGGAGCAGTGCACTTGNTTGAAAGAGTTACTCGATGACATCACTGTCTTGAAAGATTCAATGAGAAATATCTGAAGGAAATAAAATTGTCAGCAATCACGAAAAACTGATGATCACTGATTATCTAAAGTTGAAAGAAAAAAGAGAAATGAAGTTATTTCTGTTGGTTAAATGAACGAGAATTTTGATCGGTTCCACTAGAATGTCCGATAATTACATGAAACCAATCGTTCAGTTTGCGAAGGAGGCGTGAAACGAAGAAACATTCTACTTGATGGCTTGTTCAGTGCAATCAAGCAAACAAATAAATTCACGGTGTTTTTCAACTGAATTTAATGATATGATCCGAATGATCAAATGATAACGATGATGAGAATGATGTGAACTTTTTAAGCACTCTGTATTCGTACATTGTCTGAACGAATTTCTTGTCGTAAACTAAAATTATCGAATAACTTGTCGTTCTGATCGAAATACTCAAGAACTCATAAAGTTTCTCTGCACACAAAATAACCTGTAATTAGCGAACAATTCACAATCACATGCAACTGCATAATGCATTACATTCATACTGAAAGGTCAATGCGCACTTATGATGTTTCTTTTTCACAGCATAAGCTTCATTCACATTTATCATTTTTGTTTTCTGCCAAATCGAAAAATTGTTTTTTGCATTCCGTTTACACGAAAACAGGTCTTCAAGTCAACAATATTTCGACTCTTTTAATGTCAATTTCTTCACTTTCGAAATCACTTCAGTCGAATGTGATATCACTGTAGAGTTAGCTGTTCGCCGTTCAAGATTTAAGCATTTTTCACCATTTATGATTAACAATTTTCATACGATTACGTTGTTTCGAATAGAATCCATCGGATTTCAANTGAGATTATTTCAGAACAGCAAATTAACTTCAAGTAATAAATTCCTCTAAAGTGCACAACGTTGGCCATACTGATGATGGCGTTTTGTTGTGCTGTGAACTGGGACATTAAAAATGATGATGTATTATATGTGATAGTTTAGATGCTTATGAACTATGTCAGTTAAGTAATACTTCTTCATTTAACGTTTCGTGATTATCGCTTTCACTAAAACCATTTCAGGAACAATGCTTCAACTGTATGGCATTCTTCTTGTTGGTTTGGCGGTGAGCGGTGGATGGGCTCAACAAATGCAACGTATGTGTACGTGTGATGAAGCGAGACCGTGCAAGGAAAGTATTTTCCAAACTATTCAGCCTTGTGCTGATAAATGTGAGGTACGTCGACTATCGTTCATTCATCTCGGAAATTTGAAAACTCATAATGTAACTGAGAAATCAACTAGAGGAAAGGCTAAAACACTGATTGCATTAAAAGAAGATTATCAATAAGGCGATTGTTGCAGCGATTTGCGGCTGAAGCTGGTGCAAATTATCAAATGTTACGAGACTGTGTCCTCGAATATAGACCACGAATCGTAGAGACAGTCCGCTGTAGTGTCGATCAACTCAGAGACACGTACGTGCTGAGGATCTCCTTCATTATCTGACGAAAACTTTTGATCTCTTTTAAAAGATTTATTTCTTTGCATTCAACTGCAAAACTGCAAAACCATCAACAAATCTCAACTCGAATCACTACTAATCGTGCTTTTAATTACAGATGCTCAGCCGTTCCAACAGATTTCCAAGTGCCGAAGCGATATCCAATCGGTATTGAGCTTGCGTTCGTCGAAGAGATCGGTAGTATGCTCACAACTGCAGGTATGCTATCGTATACTGTACGAACAGTGAAACTATTTTGAACGGTAAATCTGTTGTGTTCACAATTCTCTTATCCGTGGACACGTCTCTTATCAATAGTACCATATTTCTGGATTACTTCATGTGCATGCGATTCTTAGGGAACCTTTATTGCTTCCGATTGCATGTTGTCTCCTCTCTGGATGTATATTTTGATACAATCATGTAAACATTTCAACAACAACATCACTTACATCCGTCGTGATAATGAATGCACTCATTGTGTGCTCTAACACATTAGAATCGAACACAAAATTAGTTTTCTGGAGCGATTGCGTCTCCATTCGTTACGTCTTTACGAAACGTTTACAGATGTGATGATCCTCATCAAATCACCAGTATTGTTTGTCCTAAATGAATATTGTCCTAGGAGTAAGCGATCAACTGACACAGTTCGTAGCGCTTGGTCGTCGTTTTGCACACTGCATGCAGGAATGTGTCGAGCGACAGACAAACAAATGTGCTTTTGATAATGTGTCAGTTACTTTTAAACTTCAATTTTTCACTTTAATTTTTTTTCACTGCTGCTCCCCCTCCCCCTCCCTAGTTCCCTCTCTCCCATATCTTCGAACCAAGTGAAGACTCAAGAAAATGCCAATTTCCTGTGAACGTTTGCATTCATCGCGTGATACACTACAGGATTCCGTTCTCGGTAGGGATAATCTAATGTTCATTCCATAACGGTTGCTCAATTCAATAATAGTAAGCTGCTTTCGTTTAGATGATCGCTTTATTGGTCAGTTTACTCGTCTCGAGCAATGTTAATCATACAATTGCAAAAAAGTATATTGATAGCAAATATTTTTTTGCGTCTTAACAATAGTAACAATAATAGTAATAATGCATAATCGTTCCATGTTTTGCGTGTTTTTGGCCATGACTCTGTTCAGTGCGAGTGTCCATTTGTCATTTGAATGAATGATAGTTCAGGTGTGCATTGAATCTGCCACCTGATAATCAACTGGTAGCAATCGTCAAGAATTGTGCCATTCAAAATCAACTGCTCACAACGCCAGTCATTCAATCGCTCTGTGAATGTGCCGTACGTTCGGGTGTTTCGTAAGTTATTCGTTTGTTCAATTGCTCAANAATTTTGTGGTCAATAACGTTCTCATACTTAATCGTATCCCATTTTAGAGCGCTAGCCGAATTATGCCCTCGTCTCATCATACAATAAGGAGCTATTTCAATCACTGTCGACACCATCAAGAATAGTCATCCGTCTGTTGAAGTGATCCTTTCCGTATCATCGATCACCCCTCCATATTTCTTCACTCCTATGCCTCATATCAATAGTAAATCTTACCAGTGGTATAATTGTTCTCTCGTGGTTCCACTTCTTTGAATGAAGTCAATTTCACATCTCAATAAAATTATCCATATACTGTTGCACACACAATCGTATTAACTTATAACGCACTGATCACGTACAATGCATGATGATCTTCAGTGTGAAAGTATGGGTTATTAAAAGCTAAAAACGTTATAGGTAAGCAAGTACTAGTACATTTCGAACATGTATTCATTCAGTTTCGACTGAAACTGATAATTATTACGGTCCAATGCTAGCCTCCAGTATGACACTGTAATGCGAAGCGATGTGATGCCAAGATGATATGACATGAAATTGGATGAAACGATAGCATTCTAATCACATGAAATTCTCAGCCTTCACATGCTTATCTCTTCAGCAACCAATGTCTATGTGAAGTCGATGTGAATCGACAGTTTTCATGAGAACATTCAATAATACAATTAAATGTTTATTTCATATTCTTTAAACAATCTTTATTAGTTATTGATTCATGCAATTATTTACTCATGTGAATACTCATTGAATTATCAATATGAACTAATAAGGTCAATC